CACAGCATTTTACATATTCTGGATATATTATCCCATCACATATTAGAGAAGGACACATCCTGAATTACTCTTAGATAATGTTTTTGAGTATTTTAACAGGAAGTAGGACTAGAAAGGAAGCAGGAATAGGCTTCTAGGTAGACCCAGAAATTTGTGTTTGTTCTTAGTAATTAAATTCAGGTTGGGTAATGTTAGGAGAAGTAACCAGCTAGCTTAAATTTTGGCTGAAGGGCCCAGCAAGGTGGGAAAGTGAGCCAGTTGTTTTGAGCACTTAAGTGTGCATGGAACAGATGCAGACAGACAACCCATACAAGCAAAATGGGAAGGTCAGGGACCTTAGTCTGCTGGAGAACAGAAGGGCAATGCATATTGACGGAGTTGTACAGGCACAGTGGGCAGCATGAAAGTCTTGGGCAATCTCCCAAGCCATCTAATTTAATTGCGAAAGTGGCCTAGCAGACCAAGTACTGGGAAGACACCTATGATGGTTAGCCTTGCTGTCACCTTGGTTATGCTGAGAAGTGTCTAGGACAGGGATGAACTGAACCTCAAGGTATGCTGTCAGGAAGTTTTGGAGGTTTAGCTGAGGTGTGGGTGCCATGGACATGGGTAGCATTATGTCACATGGATAAAGCCATTGCAGGATTTACTCTCTGGTTCCCGCCACTGAGCTGTATTTTCCAGGCCCCTCCCTACAATGGAAAGATGTGGGTCAAAGACGGAGGGACTTATTCTCATCAAGTCAGTCTGAAGGATAGTGTGGACCCTGATGGGAGAAGCTTGACCCTCAGGACAGCAAACGAATGTCCATCAGGTAAGAAAGGGACTTTGGCTAGGGCAAGTCATTAGAAAAAAAAAAGGCTGCTCTTATCTCTAATGCCTTCCATTAACACCCATCCAGACGCAAGCCCAAGTTTCCAAACAGAGTTATGCTTGCAAACAATGAATTCCTTCTTGCACAGTTACTCCTTTAAAATACCAACTTGCTGTAACTTTCTCTTTTAATGCCGATTCTTAACAAATTAAAATACAATAACAGGAGTGTAATTGAGCATTTATTGCTTATGAGTTCTAAAATGAGGCTAATCAGAGAGTGACTAAGCCCCAGCATGGGCTCTTTTAATAGGCATGTTTTAACATACAATAACCAGGATATTTTACTTAAAATTATTATAGAAATGTAGAGTCTGCTTTCCGGATCTGAACACTCCAAGGGAAGACATTTATCTTGAGCTCAGCATGGGCTGGCCGATCTGTTTTCTTGCCTGTGTTAGGCACTGCAAGCTTCAGATTTGGCTGGAAGAAACTTGAACATAAGAAGGCTGGGAATGTGGCTCAACTGGTGATGGTGTTTGCTGGGCCTGAGTTTGACCTCCAGCATGGCTGCCTCTGATCTCATTGCTGGGGAGGTAGGGACAGGAGCACTCTTGGGCTAATTGTCCAGCCACTCTAGCTGTGTTCCAGGTGAGGAAAAACCTGAAGCAGGGCTGGAGAGATGGTCAGTGGTTAAGAATACTGGCTGCTATTCCAGAGGACCCAGTTTCAATTCCCAACACCCACATAGCAGCTCACAACTGTCTGTAACTCTAGTTCCAGGAGATCTGACATCCTCACACATAACATATACAGGCAAAACACCAGTGCACATTAAATAAATAAGACAGAGGCAGATACTCAACCCTGGACTGTTAGCCTCTGCAGGTTCATGTGCACACACTCAAGCACCAGCCAACAGACATGCGCTTGGCAATTCCTGTGTTTCCATTCCACATAGTTTCTTCTCCCAAGAGAAAAACTGCCCCGAGTTTGATCCTGCTTCTGCAAGAACAGGGTCTTTTCATCTCTCCCCAGCTTGGTACTTGAGGAATTAAAGCTGCAACCACTAAACAATGTGGTGCCTTCAGAAGCGGGCAGGATAGTGCAGACCCTGGGTGAGCATGAGGTAGGGACCTCGCTGGGTAAAATAAAGACAGCAAGCTTATTTTGATATGCAAATACTACTCAGCTACCCTTCTCAGCGCTAGCTGCAGAAAATGCTGATCGAAGATAAAAGAGGGGAAAAAACCCTTTAACAAGGCATGAGGGTAATCCAAAGGCAAGTACTTTTAAACAGCACTTAACAAGTCCCTGGGGCCCACTCAAGAGCCAGGCCCCCCAGACGTGCCATCTCCTGCCCCTCAACAGCTTGAAAAAGTAGTAATTGCAAACCTATTTGCATTTTTCTCCTCAACTTGTCCACGCTTATCATGCGGATTCATTTTCTTCCCCCCCCCCCCCAAGCAGGCACCAGAG